ACAGCACAGGTGGAGGAGCTTCTAGAAAGAGAGATATCCGGCGAATGGAGTGGCCCGCCCGTTCCCCCGACCTAAATCCCATCGAGCACGTGTGGGATGCACTGGGTAGACGCATTGCAGCACGACCAAATGCACCAATGACGATCCAGCAATTGTCAAATGCACTGATTGAGGAGTGGAATGCCCTGCCCCAGGAACTCATTACCAACCTCGTGGAGAGTATGGGATCGCGGTGCAGAGCATGTATTGTGGTGATCACACACCCTATTAGGATCCGTGTAACTTCTTTTGTAGTACCAGGATAAATCGTGAAGACTTATGTGTAATCGACATGGTTGAATAAAAATGTCATAACAATTCGTCTTATTCCGAGTTTCTGTCAGTTGCTTTCTGTACAATATCGTTAAGGTTCTCTCTTGATATGAATTTCATCGAGCTATGTTGTCTGGCAGAGGCACAGTGATCGAAAGTTGCTTTCGTCCCTAAGTTTTGCACACCAGTGTATTATCCGGTTGTCAATTTTCCCTTGTCGCGCGCGGTATGTAGGCTGCTATTTCTGAAAGTTCAAATCAGTAGCTGTTAGTGGTTGAGTTGGTCCACCTCCTCATCTGTCCTGCTTGAACACCTTAAGAAATTGGGGAAAGTAGTAGACACTTAGGAAAGTCTTGGAATATGCGTCCAGAGGAGGGATAATTTGTGGAAGGGAGCAGAGCAGTTCGCACTGACCCCGCCGTTTCACACAACACAATGTCTTACTCTGTGTGACAAGCCGTTAATTTTTCAATTTGTTCAACTTTTTATCTATCTACTCGAATTTTCGGGAGGAATATTTGACCTGAGGGTTACTGTTCAGGGTAACTGTTCAGCCGCTGTCCTGCGTCAAGCTGGGTGTTCCAGACTGGAAGAAGTAATGGTTTCATAATTTTGGGATGTGATACGCATAGGGCCATTCAGAATCGTAGTAGATCTTGGAATGCCGTGTGGACCGGGAGGGCGGGAGGGGGCAGCCGAAAAGTATGGTTGTGTTCTTCCTCCTAGACATGTCTAATACCAACTTGTCAGAAGGGTGGTCGGCTTTGGGACTCGGGGCCTAAGCCCGGAACCTCCCAGTTCCTTCCGGAACTTTTATTGTGGTAAGCGACGTTAATCTCACTTTGACAGATGGTGGGCCACTAGTAGAAATGGCCAACGTTTAGGGGTCGTCACTTAGTAGGACTGGCGAAAGACAGGCTGTGCGAAGGAGGTACCTTTGGGGGAGGGAGGGGAAGGATTGCCATTGTGATAAAAGTGTCCGACCAATGGCGACATGTGGCCGCGCTGGAGGCGTCCCTCGCACAGAGTGTATAATGAAAGTGATGGAGAAGACATTGGGAATTCGCACATTCGGCCGGAGAGATCAGGTTTAGTTGTCTAGCAGTCAAAAATATTTATGCTCAGGCGAACTGGCAGTTAGGTTGATGAGGTTCCTTTCTTCAAGAGATACTGTCTTAATGATGTTACTCTCGGTGGTTCGTTACGTTTGTATGGTTAGGCTCGAAATTAGTCACCCCAAACGTGTCGCGGTTTTCTCTCGGCGTCACACCAGCTGTGATGGTACTGCACCGGTTTTAGGCAATCGCCTTGCCTCATCCCAGCTCTGGGGATAGAAAGCAGAGAAAGTGGTAGACTGTGAATGGAAAACTGAAGGACGAGCTACAAATCTCATGGTTTGGGAGAGTGAAAGATGGTCTACTGCGCTTAGGAGTCGATTTTTTTTCCATCAGATGTACGCTGCTGCGACATGTTTTGCAAGATCGCGAAGCCTCCTTCCTTTTATGCCGAGGGCGAGAAAGCTCTCATCTTCCATGCGGAAGCGGAAATCCCACAAAACAGACTTTCAAAGGAGAGGTCAACCCCTCAAAGTCTGTTTTGCAGTTACTTATGAGAATCAAAACATTCAATAGGGCGAGGTTGTACGAACCTCAAGAAGAACTGCTGTACAAGCTCTGCCTCAAAGGTTGTAAGGTACAGGCGCAGGCGCAAGGTGATTCCGCCCGCGTTGGTAGCTGTCGTTGCTCGTTTGCTTAGCGAGCAAGCGTTTAAGGTACCACCCCAGCTCCACCTCCCTGCCCCCAGCCCGATGTTATCAGCGCCAAACAACTAGTGGGATAGTGAGTCAGTGATGAAGGAAGACAAAAATGAGCAACATTAGCGAAAATGAGCGAAATGACCCTTCAAATGAGTTTCCACATTAAAACAAAGAAAAACCGAGAGTACGTCCCCACATGGGTTTGCTTTCTATCCTTTTTTTGTTTTTTAGCAGCTTGAGGTTTAGCGCTCAAATCAAGATTAACCAGAAAACTTCACTATGCATACCAGGACTTTCCCAGGACTGAAAAAAACGTGCTTCGTTCGTAACACTAGAAAAAAGGCTTACTTGATTCTGCTATGTCACAAGAGATTTTCAATGAAATATGTATCACAATGCTTTACTTCAAGACTTTCATTTAGAAGGCGCAACTCACCTTGATTCCATCATTGCAGTCAGTATAGATCTCTAAAACAGGCTCCATCGCTGTGAGTTCCTCTGTTGCTCCGGCCAACCGAAACTCGCCGCTACTGTCAGAATATCCCTCAGCCAGCACGTCATGCGGATCAAGCCATGACAATATTGCCAGGTCTGGAGAGAAAAAGAAATGTGAACGTCCACTGAAAGACTAGTATTACCAAAATCGCATTTTTTGCATTGGCTTATGCGCAGTAACGAAAACGGTGATATTCTGAGGGAACTAGAGTCCCTATGTGGCACCTCCAACGACGGAGAATATTTCTCCAATGACTCGACACACTTGTATGACTTTCACCCCTGTGGGGAAAGTATAAACACGACAAGTCATCAGACGGGTATTTCCATGAACATTCTGTTCCAGGGGGAGAAATAGTTATCTTGCCAGGTATTTTTCAAAGAGACGACTCGCTGGTGTGTCTGTGTCTGTCCGGAAATTCGGAATCACCTGAAGAGCCAGCTTGAGGGGACGGGTCAAGGGTGGGTTGGGTAGGGCATGGGCCAAGATGTACGGAACACACGTGAACTGAGCTAAGCCCCGCCCACTGTGGGCGGGGCGTGCGCACAGTTGTGAGCTACATATTCAAAAATTCGTAGTTCGGTTCCAAAAGATCCCGGAGAGTGGAAAATGTGGCAAACGATAGCAATCAGTTGGCGGACGAAATGAGGGAGTCACATCCATGATGGGCGGAGGCGTGCTATAGGTGGGCGGTGCTTGCTACAAAACTTTCAAAAATTCGTAGTTCGGTTCCAAAAGAGCCCAGAGAGCGGAAAAGGTGAGAAACGGTAGGGACTGAATAGATGGTTGAGGCACACCTACTGTGAACGTGGCTCGAATCAGGATTTCGTAATTTAGTCCCAAATAAGCCAAGAGAGCTGGAAAAGTGAGTAGTAACGATAGGAAATGGGTAGGCGGACGGAAAG